ATAGCTTAAGTCAATTGTATAATTTTGATTTTTTTCCAATGTTTTTGTTAATTGATTTATTAAATCAAGAAGAGTTTCTTCACATTCGCCCTTAATAAAATAAATCTTTTCTTGGTATTCAACTGCGAATGTATTGCTTGATTTGTTGCTAATATCTTTATTGGTCATTACTATTAATTAAAATAACGAGATAACAATAAATGATCTAAACCCGATTATCGTTATCGCTGCGAATCATTTAAAAAATTACCAGAATATTCTAAGTCTCTGTCCCAAAATTTACTCTATAAATCCTCCTGGTGATCTAAATCCAACACAAGAATATCAATCTCATACGTGGTTGTGTTAAACTAGAGCACAAATATATGTTTACTTGGATCCAGCCCGTTCTACATCCTAAATTTATCTATATGCATGTATCGGGTATATGTTTATTCACAGTCCCGTATATTGTTATCAATTTCGTGTCGAATCAATGTAGTGCCAAATATTTATCATCGTGCAAAGAAAATGTGATTTACGTGTTGAATTTTCATAATGCCGAGTTATTTTTGTATATAGTTTTCAAGTTAATTAATATATTGCTTCATGTCAAATTGTTATGTACTGAACTAATAAATCATAAATGGTTATTTTCAGTACAAAGTTCTGTTCGAATTTGCCTGTTTACAAAAGAACAAAATTTTTTATTTTTAAAATTGTTTACAATATTATCATTATGTCATCACAAGATACATATATTACTCTATCAAAGACCTTTAAAAGAAATTTATGTAAAAAGGAAATGCATGCTACAAAAAAGGCCAAAGTTGAAAACCCTAATAGTTCAATTATTAGAGAGAATGACTTCACCTTTAACTCTAACACTAACAAGATTGAAGAAAAAACAAACATATTTTATGATCTTTTAAAAGTAAGTTAATCATCTATCATTACTTTTATTTAAATTTTATAGTATAGTCTTCTTAGGGGCAGTTTTTGCTTTCGAGGCAGGCCTAGGATCTGACTGTTTCCTTCCTATAGTTACTTTTTTTTATCTTGGGTGTGATTGTCATCCTTGATGTGGGGTGTATATAAAGAGAAATATAATATGAATTTTATGAGTTTTAAACTCCCTGAACCACATCACCAAAAGTGATTCAAGTGTATCCACTAAGAAAATTTTATTATTATTTGCAATAAAAAATATTTGGTATATTAATTTAACAGTTTTTTGAATATATATTCTTTAGCACAAGACCCAGAGTATAACCCATTTATCTACTAAAACTCAAACTTAAAAATATGTTTGATCTTATTTAAATCTGAAGATTTTGTTGCCAGTGATTTTACGTCAAAAAATAATTTCCAGCCTACTTTTTTAATAGACCCCAAAATCACCTTTTTTAAAAAATTTTGGAAAGAAGACAGCAACAACAAGTCATTAAGACTTTATTAAGCAGATAATTACTCTCATCAAATATCTTTTCTCTTAAATACAATGCACTTTTCAATTTAGACTTTGAAAATATTTGGAATGAATTATACAATTCTAGCATTGACCCAGAAAAATCACTACAACCTTAGGCCACTCAAGTAATCTATCCTATTTTAACTACTTTTCAAATACCTGCTGAATTTATACATTTAATGGAATTGAAAGTTTTTAATTGCACCAAGGCTATAAATAAAAATTTAAATTCAACATGAAGGTAGTTTGGGTTATAGGCTTTTTTTGTAACCAACCATTCTATCTACAACTAGTTTTGTAATTACTGTTAGTACCTCTGGTCTATAGTGAAATATGTATATTAGCAATGCATAAAAGCAAAAAAAGTTTTGCTAAAGCAAACAACAATATCTGAGACACTTTGTCAAAATTTAAAATATAAAAAAATTATTATTAGTATATTAAATAATAAGATATCAAAAGAAGATACCAATATAAAAAAATATTGTCATTTATTTAATACTTCACTATGATCAGTTTATAAAATAAATCAATTATTTTATGGTATTTTTAAATGATAAAATAA